ACTGTAACGTGTGATTCAATTCCATCTACCATTTACGAGTATCCTCTCTTATAACTCCATACTAGCAAAATAAAGTTAGGTCGGTGTGGCCGTTTGAATGAAGGCACATAAGTAGATACGCCTACGTTGGTTTTAACTATCTATCTATCTGCAAAATGTTTCTTTTGGAAAAATATAGTTTTTTTTTCTTGTTGTATCAGCAGCATTATCTCTTAGTGTGCGCCCACTTAAAACTATGCGAAAACTCTTTTTCGACAAAAATCTAAGTAAAGCCATGCAGGAGCTATTGCATCGTCAGTTGGTAAATAAAGTACTAAAGAATTTTGACATGAAATAGATATTTGCAACCAGCTTTCTAACCCTTATATCAATCATTATCATGAGCGCTCAACTTCAACTTTTTATACATTACGCACCATCTCTACTCAAAAGTATTGAACATACTATATATAGCTCATTAATTCAGTCCTCCATTAGAAAAATACTAGCAGCTCTTCGCATGATCTATGAATGGTCATACGGTGTAGCACTAACGTAGTATAGGATTTTTCATTGATATAATCAACAAGATGAAGAGTGTGCGTAATCATTACTAATGTTCTTTTGCTAGGTCATTGTGCTACACTTGACCGAATAGGGTGGGATGGGTTGATTTCTCCTTCTAGCATGTTGCTGACACGTGATTGTGTCATTTAGCACAGAGCATGTACTAAGTATTATCGTCCAGTAATTAGCGCGAGGCATCTCAAGTCGTCTGCACATGTATATTTGTTAAAAAATATTCATTAACCTCAGCAATTTCAGTATTTTATACAGGATGGCGAAAAATTACGTTCCCTGGCGTTTGATTCCATTCAATTTGAAGCAGCAACATTCCATTTTTATCTTTCAACAAGACTAGGCTCTAGTTCATGGGGCCAGAACAGCTATCCACTTTTTGGAGTTCAAAGCGGTTTTTTTGAAGCAGGATGTGGCCTGCGAACACCGCGCATCTGCATCCATTGAACTTCTCTGTTTGGGGCATGAGAGAGCAACTAAGCAAAACGTAAGAATGCGGATTTTGCGAAGAGGATTGACCAAAATTTGGAACAATTTAGACGTTAACTACCTCCGCAGCTCTATCGAATTCAGAAACGAATTGAGCCTGTATCAAAGCTGATTGTGGCCAGGTCGAAAATCTACTATAATTATAATTATTTTGCTTATTGTTAAATAAAAGTAAATTTTCTAAAATGCTTTTTGAAAAATGATATTTGGGCCTTTATTGGGGCCCGTAATTACTCGCCGCCCTGTATTTGAGATGCAACGCTATTTTTTGTCTCTTAGTATAAAAAAACCATTAAGCAGTTTGGGATCTAAAGAAACAATTTACTGCTAATCACCGTCTCATTATAAGATTTAATACAACGCCGACACTGAGTTGCATCTATGATGTGACAACGCAACGAATATCATTTAGGTAGTCGTATCCGATCCTGGACTCTAATCACTTCATCTCGTTGTTTTTTCGCAACCAGCTGGGGTACTCTGTAGCATTGCGGTAAGCAGTCTTTTGCATAGGTGCTTGTACTTTGCTGGTCTTATGGAAAAACTCGATAAACATAAGTTCTCATATATTTGCCTAAACCATTGAAAATACAGATTATTAC